ACCTAGTGGGCTCAGGCTAGATGGGTTGGCTCACAAGACGTTGATGGCTGTTGGTGCTGGGATCACTGCTTGGGGGATGCAGGCAGGCCTGAATGTGGTGGGCTGTCCTTGCCCAGGTGGCTGCAAAATTAAATGCTTCCTTTTTTTCAAATATGTACAAACATCATTAAAGGGAGTAATGATGAGTGAAGGAGAAGGGAAATTCTGTAACCAGAAAAACTGAGAAAGAAAACTATATATTCCAGTTAAATTAGAAGTGGTTCTTTGTGAAAGTTTTGGAATATTACAATAAGGCCCAAGAAAAAAAAATAAAGCAGAAAGATTTAATTAAAAGAGAAGAGAAAGAATGGTAAAACATCTACTAACTGATTGCTTCGAAAATGTCTTTCAAATGTGTTTTCATTTACAATGGATTGGAAATATTTGCTTGACTATATGCTTTAATGTTCAAAAAGAATAGTTTTTATCAGTATAAGCAGAGAGGTTTAGTGCATTTTGAAAAAATCATTGTAGTAAACTGAATGCCACTGTAGAACATCATTTCTCACCAAAAATGCAATTTAATAGAGAGTAAAGTAAGATTTTACACTGAGGCAAAAATCAAATGCACAAGTACAGAATAGGTGGTGCCTGGTTCAACTGGAAGTAACTGTGAAACGGATCTGTGAGATGGAAACTTAACGAACAGATCCAACCTAGAAATAACAAGAAATTTCCTGGCAGTGAGAACAATTAATCAAAGGATGGGATAACTTCAGAAGTTGTGGGTATACCGGGGGAGGGCGGAGCTGGCATCACGACGATACGGCATGCGATCTTGGAGGTTTGAGATTGCTGCCGATATCTTTGCTCCTGGACGGTCCTATCGGATCTAAACCGTCCCTAAGAGATGGTGAAAGTGAAGAGCGCATCCTGTCGATCCCAGGGATACCACAAAGTCCCTGGTAGATCCAGGAGAAGCTCTTCTTGCCAGTGGCAAAGAGGCAGCCATTATAAAGCTGCTGAAGTTGGGACAGCTCTGAAACGAAAAAGAACAGAAAGAGAGAGTGTGCCAGTTTGGTGAGAACTTTTTCTTCATTCTAAGATCTGAAAGGACACCCTAAGGAAAAGAAAGAATCTGCAAAAGTTTTGACAGAAGTGATTAAGTAGCGATTTTAAACAGGAATGTTTTTTACTCATTGCTGGATTTTCTATACATGATCTTATATTTTGAAACTGGACTGGTTTTTTCTTTTCCATCTATTTTTTTTCCTCCTTTTTGATTTTGTAACATTTTAGGCTAGAGACTCCCTTTTAGTTATTTCCTTTTTTAAAATATCTTTTTCTTTTTTATTAATTCTTATTATATTTTGCTTGGAAAAGGAGGGTGAAAGTGAAAGCAAATAGCCTTTTAAAACTGCCAACTAGAGGCTTGGAAATATTCTATTTCTCTTGTGACCAGACAAAGCTGAGAAAGAAAGAACTGAGACTTTTTTTCAAGGACATTGCTATTTGATAAGATAGAGGGAAGAGCATGGGAGAGTATTATTGCAGGTGCTCTTCTGGGTTTCTATCAACAGCTGGAGTCTGGTGTTGAAATTTAGGGGAAAAAAGGTGATAAGTTTTTGGAGAAGAGAGTTAATAAGAGCCTTAGATAATTAAACAAAGTGCAGTGTGCTCTTTTTACTTTTTCTAAGTTGTGCTATCCCTCCTCACCAGCTTTATTTTATTTCATTTTTTTTTTTTTTGCAATAGCTATTTGGATCTTTGGCTTTGTTGGAGCTTGTCTTTGTTTTTCTTTTTTTTCTTTAGAAGTCCAATCTCTACGCTTGCTTTTTATTTTAAAGGGAAAGCTTTAGTATTAATGATTCCTTTTTTTTAAGGGAATAGCCTTTTTTCTCCTTTCCTGGTATTTTTGTTTTTTCATCTACCTTTCTGGTTTATTTTTATGCACTCTTTTCTATTTGAGACCTCTCAATTGGATTAAGGTGTTGAAGAACCTGAAGAATTTTTCCTTTCCTTTTTTTTTCCAAGCCTTTTTCTTCATCTAACTACTGATTGGATTAAGGTATACAAGAACCTGAAGAAATTTTGTCCTCCTTTTTTTATCATTATGATTTGGTTTCTTTTTTCTACTATTTTTCTTTCGAACTACAATTGGTTATTTCACAATTGGATTAAGGTTTAGAAGAACCTGAAGATTTTGAATTGCTTAAAATGAATAGGAAATTTACAGCTCCTGGTTCTTCAATTTCTACTTCTTCCTCTCCACCATCTGGACGACAACGTTCAATACAGACAATGTTAAAGTAAGAACAAGAACAAGAAAAAGTGACTCTGCAGATGATTATGCAAGGAATTCAAAATATTCAAGCAAGATCAGAGAATATTGAAAAGAGAATAGAGAACATTGAACAAAGAACAGAGAACATTGAACAAAGAACAGAGAACATAGAACATAGAACAAAGAACAGGGAAAACCGATGAAAAAGTGGAGAACATCCAACAAATGATGTTGAAGTATGATGAGAGATTCCAAAAAATTGAAGAAGAAGATAAACAAAGAGACAAGAAGATTGGAGATATTGATATTAACGGTGGTTGAACAAGATAAAAGTGGTATGTTGAGATGGGAGATGGATAGATTAGAATTCTATCTTAGATTCCAAAACGTAGAGGAAGAAAAAGGACAAAACTTAGCTGAGATAATGATAGAAACACTGGCTGAAGCTTTGGAAATAACTCAAGAAAAGATGATTAATGGAATAGATGAGGTTTATTGAGTCTTCACAAGATATGCGATGAGAAATAGCTTACCAAGAGAAGTTCACATCAGATTTACAAAGAAAGCCATTAAAACACAAATATTGCAAGTGGCAAGAGAGAAAACATTGAAATACAAAGATAAGGAGATTGTGGTCTTGAAACAAGTACCCAGAAGAGTGAGAGAGATGAGATGAGAAGAGAATACCGATTCCTGACTAAAATGCTACTTAAAAAAGAGGTGAATTATAGATAGCTGATTCCAGACAGTTTAATATTTGCATGGCAAGAACAGAGACATAGAATTGACTCAATTGACAAAGCACAATTATTTTATACAGAATTTTTTGGAGGGAAAGAGGAAGAGGCAGAAAAAGAAATCTCACTAATTGAATTCCAAGAGGACTGCCAAATGGCGATTGAAAAAGAAGAAGGTGCAGTAGGTGGAAAGGTGGAAGCCAAAGAACAACGTGAACTAAGATCTATGAGAGCTGCTAAACCTAACTACAAAATATAACCATGGAAGAGAAAAAACTGATTACAATTAATATAAATGGACTTAACTCAGCCGTTAAAAGAAGGAAAACCTTTCATAAATTAGAGAAATTAAAATTTGATATAATTTGTCTACAAGAAGTACATATTAAAAAACAATATGAACAATTGTTGATACAGCCAAAACTAGGGAAAATATTTACTTCCTTGACACAATGTAAGAAAAGAGGAGTGGATTTATATATTAAAGAGACCATCCCAGCAAAATTGATTTATACCGATGATGACGGAAGAATACTAATGGTGGAAATAATGGACAATAATACGAAAACACTCCTGATTGCAATCTATGCTCCGAATGACAAACGAGAAGAATTCTACAAAAAATTACATATGAAAATAATTAAACTGGACTATGCTAATATAGTTATGATGGGAGATTTTAATGGAATTGTAGACAATAAATTGGACTATACAGCACAGAAAACAATAAAGCAAAACAGAAAGACTCTCCCTAAATCTTTTTTTAAAATGGTAGATGAAATAAACTGAAAAGATACATGGAGAGAAAGAAATGCTAAAACTAAACAATACACCTTCTATTCAAATAGACACTTATCATGGTCCAGAATAGATATGATATGGATGTCAACAGAATTAATAACTAATATTCAAGAAATAAATATTGAAACAAGTACTTGGGCAGATCACAATCCAATGACAATTAAATGGAAAGGACAAAAAAGAAGATCTAGATGGATGTTAAATAATACTATTTTAAAGGAAAAAGACTTCACACAGTGGATGGAGAAAGAATTGGCTTTTTTCTTTAGAGAAAACAAAAAGGAAGATACATCAATTCAGAATGTATGGGATACAATGAAGGCATATGTTAGAGGCTTGATAATAGACTACACAAGGAAAAGAAATACTATGAAAAGATTACCCTCTAAGGCCTTAGAGGATTGTTCTGTACGGTCATTACCATTCTTGTAGAACCGCGCAGTGATTGGCCAAGACGCACGGCGAGCTGATTGGTCGAACGAGCCGCACTGATTGGCCCGCCGCGAATCTCCCGCGATTGGTAGAAACTAATCGCGGGAGATTCAAAGCGGTGCCATTGGCTGCGGCCGCCGCGGCCAAGGAATAAAAGCTGCCGCTTTTCTTTCCGACCCGAGCCGATCTCGGGAATCAATAAATGAGCTGAACTAAAGTCACTGGTTCCTAGTCTCTTTCCTTGCGACGGACACAACACTGGCGACGAGGGTGGGATCCCAACCCTGATCCCCATCGAGCACGTGTCCTGAGGAAACGAGACCGACAAGATGGCCAGCATCGTACTGCCCGCACCCTTTAACCCGGCTACTGAGGATTGGGAATCGTACACCGACCGATTCCTGATGTTCCTCGAAAGTAGCAATCTAAAGGATGCAAACGGGCAAAAGAAAAGAGCTGTCTTCCTCACACACTGCGGGCCTGCAGTGTTTAAGATGGCAAAAGCTCTCACGAAACCTGAGGACATAAAAACGATGGACTGGGCCGGTCTCGAGCCGTTGCTCCGAAACCACTATGCCCCCGACGTGCCCACCCTCATCAGGTGGCACGACTTCTATCGGCGAGACCAGCGAGCGGGCGAGAGCATCGGCGACTTCGTGGCTGACCTGCGAAATCTCGGGGGCATGTGTGGGTTTACGGATATGGACGAGGCACTCCGAGACCGCGTCGTCCTGGGGCTCAGAGATCCAGTCCTCCAGAGCCGGCTGATGGCAAAAGGCGACATCGCCCTCACCGACGTCCTTGCAGACGCCACTGCAGCCGAGGCGACCCAGAAATCGGCGGCTCGAATGCGGAGGCCCGAGGCCGGGGACCGCAACGCGACCAAGACGCACTCCGAAGCAAGCCACCGAGAGACCACCACACACCATGGCGACCTCGACTCCACCTCCGACACCACGGACGAGGAAGAGGACGTGCATCGGCTCCAGGCAGACCGAGACTGGCGCGATCGACGGAGTCGTAAGTCGGGGAAACCGTGCGCCGGGTGTGGAGGCGACCACCCTCGATCGGAGTGCCGATTTTTCGATGCAATATGCCGGTACTGCGATAAAAGAGGCCACATCGCCCGAGTCTGCCGACTCAAGAAGAACTACAGCCCCCGGAGGCGAGACGGCAGCGACCAGAGATGAGACGGCACCCCCCCAAGACCCAGAGACCGCCAAGCCGAAAACCGATGGAGCCGAGACGGACGGGGCCGACGAGATGGCGGGAACCGGCGGAGAGAGGAAACCCACCAGACAGTCGTCATCGGCCACTCATCCAGCGCAGACGCCCAGAAAGTATATGTGGAAGTGGGCATCGAGGGCGAGCCATGCAAGATGGAGGTGGACTCCGGGTCCTACCTCTCCATGGTTGCATGGCGGGAAATCAAGCGCCTGGTGCCCACAATCCACAGGAGAGGACCGGAAAGCCAGAGCCTAATCCTCAAGGACTACCAGGGGAATCGCATACTGGTAGTCGGAACAGGCCAGTTCGAGGTAACTTTCAAAGGGCGCACAGCAAGGCTTCCCCTGACGATCGTGGACCGAGACCACCCCAGCCTTTTGGGACTGCAGTGGTTCGCGCCACTCGGAATCGAAGTAATGGGCATCGACCACATCGGGGAGGCCGACTGGGAGGACCAACTCGCAAGGGACTTCCAGGAAGTGTTCGACGGCACCCTAGGCAAGTACCGAGGGCCCCCTATTTCGTTCAGCCTAGACCCCAGCACTCCCCCAATACGCCTGAAACTACGGCGGGTACCATTCGCACTCCGGCCAAAAATCGATGAGCAAATAGACAAGCTCATCAGACAAGGGGTCCTCGAGCCAATCGACCATGCCCGATGGGAGACCCCCATTGTCACCCCAGTCAAGCCCGATGGGTCAGTGAGAATCTGCGGGGACTATAAGGCCACCCTCAATTGCGCATTGCAACAGAGCGCCTACCCCGTCCCAGTAGTGCAACATCTCCTACACTCACTGGGGGGAGGCAAGGTCTTTGTGAAGCTTGACCCGGCGCAAGCCTATCAGCAGCTGCCGGTCGACGCAGAAACCGCCGAGGCGCAAACCATAGTAACCTACCAGGGGGCTTTCCGCTGTAAGAGACTCCAGTTTGGAGTCAGCGTGGCCCCAGGAATATTCCAGAGCCTCATGGAGAGACTCCTGCAAGGAATCAAGGGGGTGGTACCCTACTTCGACGACGTACTGGTGTCGGCAGCCAACCAAAAAGAACTGGAGGGTCGCCTGAGGGAGGTCCTAACAAAATTCAAAAATGTGGGGCTGAAGGTTAAAAAAGAAAAATGCCAATTACACACCGAGAGGGTCGAGTTCCTGGGGTACCTTTTAGATCGGCACGGAATTCACCCAACCGAGAAAAAAATCAGAGCAATCAAGGAAGCCCCCAGGCCGAAGAATAAAATGGAACTACAGGCATTTCTAGGACTGCTTAATTTTTACAATGTTTTCCTGCCCCAGAAGGCGACCGCGGCGGAGCCTCTGCATAGGCTCCTGGACAAGGTGGCCCCGTGGACTTGGGGGAAACGCGAGGAAGCCGCCTTCAACAAAACCAAGGACCTGCTCACCTCGGATGCTGTCCTCATCCAATACAACGAGACCTACCGCTAGCTGTCACATGCGACGCGTCACCCTTTGGCGTCGGCGCCGTCCTCAGCCACACTCTCCCCGACGGAAAAGAAGCACCCATCACCTTCTACTCAAGGACCTTCACCAAACCGGAAAGAAACTACAGTCAGCTGGACAAAGAGGCCCTGGCTATCGTTGCCGCCGTCAAAAGGTTCCACGAGTACATCTACGGCCGGACCTTCACCATCGTCACCAACCACAAGCCGCTGCTGGGAATCCTGGCAGGGAACAGGGCCACCCCGAACATTCTATCCCCAAGAATGACAAGGTGGTCCGAATTCCTTGCCGCCTACAGCTACCGGCTCACACACCGACCCGGTAAGACAATCACCCACGCAGACACCCTGAGCCGCACGCCGCTACCGGATGTGGACACCGACCCAGCACCCACGACGGCCACCCTTAGCATAGAGACTCTGCCCGATCTACCCATAACCGCGTCAGACATTGCCCGTGAAACCAATAAAGACAAACGTCTGGCGTGGGTATTACATTGGGTAGAGAAAGGGTGGCCCGAAAAGGACGACGACGAAACCTTCAGGACATTCCGGAACCGGCAAACAGAACTGTCATTACAAAAAGGTTGCTTACTTTGGGGGGACCGGGTTGTTATTCCGGAAAAATTACAGGGAAAGGTATTGGAATTGTTGCATGAGGGGCACCCAGGCATCGTTAGGACAAAGGCCTTAGCCAGAAGTTACGCCTGGTGGCCAGGAATGGACAAACGAATCGAGGCCTGGGTGGCAGCATGCAACAGATGCCAGGAAACCAGGCCCAGCCCTCCTGCCGCCCCAATCCTGGAATGGGAAACCCCTAGGGGACCATGGTCCAGGATTCACATAGATTTTGCCGGGCCCACGAAAGGCCACACTTTCCTCATCACGGTAGACGCTTACTCCAACTGGTTGGAGGTAAGCAACATGAGGACTACCACCACGGAGGCCGTCACCAAGGAACTCAGCAAACTATTTGCAACCCACGGCCTCCCAGACGTCATCGTATCCGACAATGGGCCCCAATTTACCTCGCTGGAATTTGAAAAATTCCTAGCGGAGCGGGGGATACGACACGCGTTGACAGCGCTGGCACATCCGGCGGCGAACGGGAGGGCGGAACGGATGGTTCAATTTACAAAAAAAACTATCCAAAAGATAGAAAACGGGGAAATCCAAGAGAAAATAAACAAAATGCTTTTCATACAACACATAACCCCGAATACAACAACCAATAAAAGCCCGGCAGAACTACTGATGGGGAGAAAATTAAGGTCCCCACTCGACAGACTGCACCCCACATACAACCCAGAAAAACCCCCAAACTCCTCAAGCAAAGACCGAATATTTAAAACAGGCGACGCAGTATACGTGAAAAACCTCACCAGAGACCCACTCTGGATACCAGCAACCATAACCCAAGTGACAGGTCCACGCTCGTACCGCTTACAGACAACCGACGGACGAGCATGGAAACGACACATCGACCAATTAAGGTCAAGAACAGCCACGGAAAACACAACCGACACGCAAACAGAAGCAAACACAGAAGGGAACCCCCCCAACACAAACCAAGAGGGGAGGGAAGGCCCCAGGGACCAAACCCCACGAGAAAGAAACCAGGAATACTCACCGGCAAGCAGCCAGCTCGACACCTCACCAGGGAGAAGCAGCCAGGCCAGCTCAACCAGCCCGGAAAGACCAGGCGGGAGCGGAAACCGCAGCTCAACCAGACCGGGTAGACCGGGGGGGAGCTGCGACGAAAGGCCCGGCTCAGCCTTCCAGACGGTTCCATCAACAGGGCAGAGAGCAACACAGAACCCGACCGAACCGGCCGGGAGCCAAGCACCAACTAACCTGCGCAGGTCAAGTAGACAAGTACGTAGCCCCGCCTACTTACGGGACTACGTTATGTAGGACCCTACCAAGAGGGGAGGGGTGTTCTGTACGGTCATTACCATTCTTGTAGAACCGCGCAGTGATTGGCCAAGACACATGGCGAGCTGATTGGTCGAGCGAGCCGCACTGATTGGCCCGCCGCGAATCTCCCGCGATTGGTGGAAACTAATCGTGGGAGATTCAAAGTGGTGCCATTGGCCGCGGCCGCCGCGGCCAAGGAATAAAAGCCGCCGCTTTTCTTTCGGACCCGAGCCGATCTCGGGAATCAATAAATGAGCTGAACTAAAGTCACTGGTTCCGAGTCTCTTTCCTTGCGACGGACACAACAAGGATGAGTATAAAAGACTTGAAAAAGAGCTACAGAAAATGCCACAGAAAAAGGACATCAAGCTAAAAATGGATATAGTTAAACATAAAATGGGTAAAATAGAAAAAGAAGAATTAGCACAGAAAATTAGAGGTGCTAAACTGAACTACTTTGAAGACGCAAACAAACCAGGTAGCATACAAATTGAGAAAGGAGAAAGAATCAAGGAAAATATTGCAATTAACAGATGACCAAGGCCAAGTTTGCTATGGTAGTAAAGAGAAGAAGGAAATAATTCGAGACTTCTATGGGAAACTATATATGCAAGAGAATATTGATAAGGAAAGAGTTAAACAGTACTTACAGAATGCTAATTTACCTCAGAAAGCTAAAGAGATTGAAACAATGTTAGAAAGCAATATAACGATGATGGAGTTAACTGAAGCACTCAAGAAGCAAAATAATGGAAAGGCACCAGGCCCAGGTGGACTTCCGGCAGAATTTTACAAAACATTTCAAGAATCGTTGAATCTTCCATTGCTAGAAATTATGAATGAAGTAATGTTAAAGAAGAAGATACCCAAATCATGGTCAGAAGCCTATATTACACTTATCCCAAAAGAGGAGGCCGATCCATTACAAATTAAGAACTATAGACCTATTTCTCTACTAAATGCAGATTATAAAATCTTTGCTTCAATATTGGCAGAAAGACTTAAAAAATATCTAAATAATTTTATTCATCCTGATCAAAATGGATTTCTGCCAAAGAGACAAATTAAAGATAATATGAGAGTAATCTTGGACACCTTGGAATACTATGAGGCACATCCTGAAAAACAAATGGCTCTGATATTTCTAGATGCACAGAAGGCATTTGATAATGTGAATTGGTGATTCATGTTATTACTTTTGGAAAAGATGGGCTTTGCTAGAAAATTTATTCAAGCAATAGAAGCTATATACGCAAACGGCAAAGGTAATGATAGAGGGAGAACCGACAGACTCTATCAATATAAGAAAAGGAACAAGACAAGGGTGCCCACTATCACCTTTGTTGTTTGTGTTAACTTTGGAAGTGCTAAACAGAAATATTAGAGATGAAAAGAATATAAAAGGAATGAAAATCAAAAAGGAAGAATTTAAGCTGCAAGCATTTGCAGATGATCTGGTTTTCATCTTAGAAGACCCTCTAGAAACAGCACCAAAATTGATAGAAAAGATAGAGACATATGGAAAGGTGGCTGGTTTGAAAATAAATAAAGATAAGACAAAGATTTTGACAAAGAATATGCTATTAAGACAAAAGGAAGAACTGGCAGACCTATTGAAAATTCAGGTCATGAATAAGATCAACTACTTGGGGATATATTTGACAGCAAGATGTAGCACACTAAAAGAGAATAATTATATCAAACTTAAACAGCAGATAGCGCTAGATCTGGCGAAATGGGAAAATTTACAACTGTCACTAATAGGGAGAATTTGAACAATCAAGATGAATATATTACCCAGAATTTTATATTTGTTACAAACAATTCCAATTAGGCTTGGAAAAGATTACTTTGAAGATTTAAATAAAATTGTGTTGAAATATATATGGCAAGGTAAGAAAGCGAGAATAAAGTTAAAACTTTTGCAAGATGCTAGAATTAGAGGAGGATTTGGTTTGCCTAATTGGGAGTTGTATTATCAAGCTACAAATCTGATGTGGGTTAAGGAATGGATAACACTAAGAAATACTAGATTGTTGACATTAGAAGGACATGATTTGTTGTTGGGGTGGCATGCTTTTTTATGGTATAAAGGAACTAAAACACAAGAGTATTTTAGAAGACATTATATAAGGGAGTCTCTGTGGTTAAACTGGAAGATTAAAAGACAATGTTATTTGAAAATTCCAGTGTGGCTATCGACTATTGAAGCATTTTCTTATCCTATAATATACAAAAAGGAACAAACAGTTAGATATGGTGAAATATTGAATGAAAAGGGTGAACTCAAATCTATACAAAAACTAGAGGAACAAGGTATAAAGATGAATTGGTTTTCATATGCGCAGATACATTCAAGGTATGATAAAGATTCCAAAATGGAAGGTTTCTATGATAAATTGACTGATTTAGATAAGATTTTGACAGGTACTGATGAAAAGGTGATTAAAAAATTGTATGGATATTTATTAAAAATTAAATTAGAAGAACAAGTTAAAGAAACTATGATTGCTTGGGGGAAGAATTTTGGATATGGGATTGATTTAGAGAAATGGCAAAAATTGTGGTCTCAAAATTATAAAATGACAATGTCAACAGCATATAAAGAAAATTTGTATAAGATGTTTTACAGGTGGCATTTCCCCCCTGACAAGAATAGCAAGAATGTTCAAGAATAAATCTGAAAAATGTTGGAAATGTCATCAGACACCTGGCTCATATTACCATACGTGGGGGACTTGTGCGGATGCTAAAAAATACTGGACTAAAATCCACACGTGGTTGGAAAAAATGACAAAAAAACATATAGACTTGAAACCAGATATATTTTTATTGGGAATTTTACCTGAAATATATAGTAAAGACTTGAAATATCTGATTGTAAATGTATTAACAGCGGCTAGGATTGTATTTGCCAAAAACTGGAAAAATGAGAAAACACCATCACAGGAGGAAATCATTAAGAAAATCTTGGAATGTGCTGAAATGAGTAGATTGACATTTGATTAGAGAACAAGAGGATCAACAATTTTATAAAATTTGGGATCTATTCTATCAATGGTTAGACAATAAAATACAGTAATGAAATATGTAGACTTTTAGAAAATAATAAATATATAAATATGTACTTCTTTCTTATTATATCTACAAAATGATTTTAGGATAGATTTGGGATGATAATATGAACTGTTATAAAACAAACTAAGTAAATTATGATTATCTTGTAAAACATGAATGAATAAAAGTATAGTCAAATGATTGATAATGATACTAAGGTATTTAATTTTTGATTGAAAATACGAGATTATATGCAATGTAATTGTAATTGAAGACTACGAAATGGAAGCACAAAACAATTTGTAAACCAACCAGCACACTGTATGTATACATATGGAAGATGGCTTGATGTTTTTATGTTTTGTTTGTTTATGTTTGTTTTTAAAAACCAATAAAAACTTTAAAAAAAAGAAGTTGTGGGTATACCGGATGTCGGCAACCTGTGGCTCCAGAGCTGCAAGTGGCTCTTTGACCCCTCTCATGCAGCTCCCTGCCGACCCAGTCGCACAACCTACTTTCCACCCTGAGATACTGGCCCAGTTGCGCGACTTGCTCTCTGCCCCGAGAAGGCATGAGCCTCTCCGCAGAGCCGCATGGCTGAAGCGCCACTCGCGTTTTCTCTGCATTGCCCATAACCTGATGCCTTTTGCCATTCCATGTCCTTTGCAGGCAGCTCAGCATCAGCTGCGATCCCCTTCATGTCAGCTCAGAAAGGAGAGGAATGGGAAGGAGCAGCCGCCGATGCCGGATGCAGGAAGGGAAGAGCTCTGGCTCTCTTGTGCAGAGCAGCCAGCTATGCACCTGAGTGTGCAGTGGCGGCAGCAGAAGTCACCATTGCCACTGCCACTGTGATCTAGGTTCAGAAAGGTATCCCGCTTGTGCACACACACGAGAGAGATGAGAGAGAGAAAAAGAGAGAATGACAGAGAGAAATGAGAAAATGATGGAGGGAGAGAATGAGAGAGAGGAAATAAAGAAACAAATGAGAGAGGGAGAGAAGGGGGAGAGAGAAAGGAGAGGGAAAGGGAGAGAAGGGGGAGAGAGAAAGGAGAGGGAAAGGAAGGGAGAGAGAGAAATGAGAGAGAGCTAGTGGAAGAGAATGAGAGAGGGAAAAGATGGAAACAAATGAGAGAGAGAAGGGGAGAGAAAGAAAAGGGGAGAAAAAAGAAATGAGAAAATGATGGAAGGAGAGAATGAGAGGAAAAGAGAAACAATTGAAAGAGAGAGAAGGGGAAGAGAGAGGGAGAAAGAAATGAGAGAGAGCTGGAGGGAGAGAATGAGAGAAAGGGAAACAAGTGAGAAAGAGAAGGGGGAGAGAAAAAGAGAGAGGCGGAGAGGGAGAGGAAGATGAAAAAAACAAATGAGAGAGAAGTGAGAAAGAAAAGGGGAGAAAAAGAGAGAAAGAGACAGAGAAAATTGAGAAAATGATGGAGGGAGGGAATGAGAGAGAGGAAAAAAAGAGAGACACAAATGAGAGAGAAGGTGGAGACGGGAGAGGGACCCATTTCCCATAGAAAACACTGGGAGGCACAAAACCTAGGTAGGTGTGGCTGGGGTTCATGTAACCGGGTGGGATTGATGTTGAGTTGGCCATGCCCACCCCAGGTTTGTGGCTCCCAGTGTTTTCTTTTCTGTGGGAAATGGGTCCAAATGGCTCTTTGAATGTTTAAGGTTGCAGACCCCTGGTACCATCACTGGAGGTTTTTAAGAAGAAATTTGTCCATAACAGTATAGGGTCTAATGCGTGAGAGGGTTTGGACTAGAAAACCTCTAAGGTCCCTTTCAACTGTTATTCTTTATAAATCTCTCCATTCAGTCTTACCAAGAGACTGGTGATAAACAATACTTGGAATTGTACATCAGGCCTTCTGATAGCAAAATCTCATCTTATTGGCTAGTATCAAGGGGAAGATGACTGAAAAAGCTTCCTCTCTCACCATAACATGCAAGACGAGGAGAGGAGTGTAGGGGTGAGAAGAGAGAGGCCAGATGAGGCGTCGCTCGATGTGAGTGATATCAAGTTGGCCATACCAACTCAGTCACATGACCACCTAGCTACACCTACCCAGCAGTCATTAGGGCAGAGAACCAGTTGTTAAATTATTTGAATCCCACCACTGTGTATAGGTTCTCCTGCTTGAACAGGGGGCTGGACTATAAGACTTCCAAGGTCCCCTCCAGCTCTATTCTATTCATTATTTGACATTGCAATCCTTCTTTTCATTCTACCTTCATTTTTAATCAGTATAAGTTCCTTACACCAGTCAACTACAAAAAAGTGATTTTTCTCTCAGTCTCTTCAGGCAAAAGTATGAGTTGTTTCCAGCAGCATTTCAACTTTGTGTCCCCCACCCAAAGCACATGATTAATTATGTGCAGTCAATCCCTCTCAAATTTGTTGGTGAATTAGGGATGGGATCTCCTAAATTAGGACTGTCAAACTCATGGTCTGTGGGCTGGATGCGCCATGCGCTGGCCACGCCCAGTTTAGCGAAGGGGGAAAAGTCCCAAAGTGTCACGTAATGCAGTGATGTGAGTTTGACACCCTTGTCCTAGATTAAGAAACAGCTAAACTTCATAAATCAAAAAACATTATTCTCAAAAGCTATCAAATATTTAATTTGATTAAAGGAGTTTCTAATGAATGTTACATTTTATTATTGCCTTTAAAATTATAATCAAAATAAAAGTCATAATTTCATTATACAATGTCTAAATTTTTAAATGTGTGTTCATATTATAGTTATCTGTTCACAACTATAGAAAGTTAGCACCCACCCCCCCTCCTAGAAGAATGAAATATTATAGGAAATATTAAAAAGGCAGAATATTGTATTTGCCTGGATGAGAAAGGGAGAAACATGTCTTTAAAGACAAAGCTGCTCTCTGCAGCTCCCTGCCCCCACTTCAGCACCAGAGTGATGGGATCAGGGCATGATAGGATTAGCCCTCTACCCATCTCACCACATGGCACCTGGGAAGATTGCATCACCCAGCAAAATAGAATAGAATAGAATAGAATAGAATAGAATAGAATTCTTTATTGGCCAAGTGTGATTGGACACACAAGGAATTTGTCTTGGTGCAAATGCTTTCAGTGTAAAAGAAAAGATACATTTGTTAAGAATCAAGAATCATCAGGTACAACACTAAATAATAGTCAAAGGGTACAATAAGATTCAACCAAGCTGTATGGTTCAACTCCATGGAAGTCTGACAACTGATCAGGACAGGGGTCTCCAACCTTTTGGACCTCAGGACCACCAACTCCATGGAAGTCTGACAACTGATCAAGACAGGGGTCTCCAACCTTTTGGACCTCAGGACCACCAAATTCATAATTTTAAATCCCGCAGACCACTAATATGAATCCAGCATGCCACTCGCTGAAGCTCCTGGACTCCCACTGACAGGATGGGGTCCTTCAGGCACTTAGCTTGGCTGCCTGCTTCTGCAACCTTAAATACTCAAGAGTCATTTGGACCCGTTTCCCACAGAAAACAAAACACCTCTCATCTCTTTCTCGTCTTTCCCTCCCTCCCTCCCTTTTTCTCACTTCCTCTTTCTTTCTCTCTCTCTTTCCCCCCCCCTCTCTCTGGGTCTTGGTGGTGGAGGGAAAGGAACCTCTGAACTGGTGCTGGGTAGTGGGAATCTAATGTCCGGAGCCACGTGCTGAAGACCAGATGGTTGGCAGGGAGGTGGGGCAACAGGGGTTATACCAGCAGACTGATGCACGCGGCGAGGGTAACATGCAGGAGATCGTGGCATCTGAGCCCTGACCTTCAAGGGGGTGGGGGTGGGGGCAGGGGTGGGATTCTACCAGTTCGCACCTAATCTCTAGAACTGGTTAACATTCTAAGCAGTTCGGAGAACCTGTTGTCAGAAGAAATTACTGGCCTAATCCTGTAAGGAAGGCAGGAAGGAAACATTCTGGTGTTGCTTACAGAAACTGCCTCTCTGTTAACCCTTATTACATTTTTGGCAGGACTAGACTTCCTGTCTCTGGAACTTCTCTGGAGTTTTCCCCCCCCTCCTTTGCTGGTACTTTGCTTGTGTGGAGTGACCATTGAAAAAAGTGACTTATGACCGTTGCAGCATGCTCACAGTCGAGGCCAGGTGAGGACATGCATACCTCGATGTGAGTGATATTGAGTTGGCCACGCCCAGCCAGTAACATGACCACCAAGCCATGTCCACCCAGTCACATGACCACCAAGCCACACCCACCAACTAAGCCACGCCCACAGAACCGGTTGTTAAAAATTTTGAATCCCACTCCTAGGTGGGGGGTGTTCCCTGACCTGCGTGGGGGTGGGGGTGGGGGAGAAGGAACCTCTGAATTGGTATTGCCTCGTGCCTCTGTGCATTGAGGAGGCCGAGCAGCTGCCAGCAATGCCCTCAGGTGAAGATGTTGTGAGGGGAGGCTCAACCCTTCCGCTCAGGAGCCGCAAAGTGCTTGCCATCCCTCTGGCAACTGCCAAGCCTTCTCCTTCCTGCTGGGGGTGAGCGCTTCTGGCAAGGAGGAAGAGAAGCACGGTGGGAGGAGGCTTGGTGGCTACCAGAGGAGCAGTGAGTGCTTTGTAGCTCCTGAGGGGTCGAGCAGCATTTCACCTGAGAGGGCATAAAACCAAGGGACTCTAAGCATCTCTTCCCTTTTTCACCCAGGAGCTCCAAGGCATGTGATCCTGTCCACCATTAAAAACATCTTTCCAGGCAGTCACCATGTTTCTGGTGTCTTTCTTCCCACTTGGAACTGAACCCAAATGGACATTTCTTCCAACACAACCATGTAAAGTTACTGATTTTTAGCTGGTCTTGGCCTTTATGCTCGAGTTCTTCCCAAGCACCTGAGATGTAGTAATGTATTGGCATAGTATAAGTATGGATACAAGCAGTGGTCTTTTGCAATTGTGATGAAAATTTTGTAAATGTGCAGATTTGTTGTTCAAAACTTTTGGCGTGGCACCCATATACCATATTGTTAGTCACACAATCACCCTGACTGCACCTGACATTTTATCCACCTGTCATTATGGCTGGTCGCAGTCAGCCAGTTATTTAGACTGGATCATGATGTCAATAATGATGACTTACTTATTATGAAAAAGGCAACACGGCATCAGCTAAAGATTTAGGGTGATTTTCGGGCTCAGTGGCAGTTATCACACACGTAAAATCTATAAATTGTTTCCAGAACAGAGCATTGTGTGTCCCTACAACTACATTCACTTTCTTTAAACGGGTTCTAGCATCACATTGCACCTGCATTTTGTAATCAGGGCAGATTAGAAGAGGGCGTGGAAGGAGAAACTTAAACGAACAGTCAAGAAAGTGTTTTGATTGGCTTAAAAGAAAATCATTTCCCCCTTTACTAAGTCTCTTGATTCGTCAATATACACTCCCCGTAAGTTAGCACCAAGCAATCACCACCCGCGACCCTTGCCTCAGTGGAGGCACGGCTGGATAAGAGAATACGCCGCGTCCGGTAGTGCTTGCTCTGCCATTGCCGTGTCCGCGCGCTGTAGCGCAGCAGGAAGGAGGCGGGGACGCTGACACCGGAACCTCTCCTGCCCCCGGAGGAGTGAGTGGAGTCTGCTAGACGGGGCGCACGCAGGAGGGGCGGCGGCAGCGTTGTCGCGGCGGGCGGTTCCCTTTGCTGCAGTAGCAGCGGAGGGCGATGCTGATTTGATCATCAGCCGCGGCTGTGAGCCGGTCCTGGCCTGAGGCACAATTATCGAAGAGACAGCCAGACCTCGACTAGGTTTGCCGTGGGAAGTTCAGGATGGGGCTGAGCACGGCAACCGCCGTAATGGTGTTGACTGCAGCGAGTCTCACTTTCTCAGAGGAGAGAGGGCTTCCTCGGGGCTGAGGCGGCCTCTTTTTCCTTGCCGGTTTCTCCCTCAAGTGCGTCTTTCCGACGTTGCTTTTCTCTTCTCCCGACTCGGGCCGGACGCATTCCTGGCCCACCGCCGCAGAGAAGAGGCGACTTCGCCACCACCTTTTGAAGCCATCGGTGGAAGATGGCGTGGGTGCTGAAGATGGACGAAGTAATCGAGTCTGGTCTGGCGCACGACTTCGATGCCAGCCTCTCCGGCATTGGGCAAGAGCTGGGCGCCGGCGCTTACAGCATGAGGTGGGTGTCCTGGCGGAAGGGACTGGGAGTCTCCTTTTGCCCCGGTTTCTTCGCTCTTCTGATGGGGAAGAAGAGCTCACCGACGGTACTTCCCTTTCGGAGGAAGTTTGGCTTTTCTGTTATGCTGAGGTAATTGCTAAACTGTTTTGCTCGCCGTGAGGCATACCGTCGCGGCGCCTGCGGGAAGGGGCTTCTGGCTTGTCAGGCTCCTTTCGTCATCCTCAATTGCTCCTCCCTGTTGTGATTGGCTGCCCTGCTTTCAGGAACCGGCGAAACGGTAGCCAAACGGCTCTCCTTTCGTTCACGAAATCAATAATAGATGTTAGGAAGGTAACTTCTGAAGTTAAGACACTTACCGGCTTTAATCTTCGAAGCCTTATTAGTCCTTTCCGTGGAGGAGGAAAGAGCCTGAGCCCGGATAATTCCAGAAGCAGGGCTGCCATTGGAGTCCTATGCCATTTCTGCCAGAGGCTGCTATCAATCTGTCAGTTACCTTTGGAAACTAATTAGAAGATACTTTTTAATGGTATTTTGAACATATAATACATTTTGTGCCTTTCTTTCTTAATGCATTTTCTTTCATTTTTTAAAAACTGTTTTGTACTTTATCATTTTTCTTTTACTCATGTAAAATTTGTGTACAAAAATATTTTAAAATCATAGCATATTGTTCTGATCTGACTATAATTGTTTTGACCAAATGAAGCGGGTTTGTAATATATAAGTTTATAAACGTTTTCTGGGTGATTTCTGGATATAAAAATTCAGGTAGTTTTGAACTTAAAACCATTTATTTAAAAAAAAATTTTTTAAATAACCTATTAAAGATTAAAAAGAAAAATATATGTATAAGATACATTTCGTTGCAGATGAAACCAATATACAAGTACAAATATAAACATAAAACATATATTTCTAATCAGCTAAGATGGTGTGATCATTTATTGAGAACAATTTTACTAATATTCATTTTCTATTTTTGGTATATGCTCTTAATCTAACCACTTCATTTTTCAAATCCTTATCTTTTAGTTTCCTGGTTTTTCTCCTTAATCCAACTATACCATTTTTCCCAAGCTGTACTATATTTTGAGTCTACCTTATCCCTAAGTTTTTGTGTAAGTAGGTCCATTTCAGTGCAGTCAAGAACTTTCTGAATTATCAAATTATTTGTTGGCATTTAGACACCCAACATTGTGCCAACGCAATTCTTGCTGCCGTGATTATATGGAGAATTAAGCATTTCATTTCTTTTGCATAGATCCCCTTTTAACATTCCCAATAAAAATATTTTGGCCTTAAATTCTAATTGTATATTTGTAATTTCTTTTATCCAAATTCTATTTTTTTCCCAATACTTTTTACTTTTTGGGCAAAGCCACCAAGCATGAAAGAAGGTACCCCTTGTTTGCTTACATTTCCAACAAGTCGGATTTAAATTTAGGTACATATTCGCTAACCTTGAAGGTGCCAGGTACCACCGGTAACACATTTTGTATTGGTTTTCTTTATAAACAACTGATTTTGTTATTTTATAATTTTGTTTCCAGACTTTTTCTCAATCCTCCAGATTAATGTGCCCTACATTCCTTGCCATGCAATCATTGGGCCTTTAACTATTTCTTCCGCCATTTCAAATTCTAATAGATAATTGTACATTTTAGAAATTAATTTTTCATCCGTTCCCTCTCATATTTTATCTAATTGGTTCGGTTTTACCTCAATTCCAAATTTTTCTATATCTTTTTTATATCTTGTCTTAAGTTGTAAATAAGGCCACCACTCTATTTTCATCCCTTGTTCTCTAAGTTCTTGGTTCGTCTTTAATCCTCCTTGGGAATTTAGGACATCATAATATCTAATCTTTCTTCCGGTTTCTAAGGCATTGGGGTAGATCAGTGCCTCTATGATGGATACCCACCCTGGAATCTTCATATAGTGTTTATGTTTAATCTCTTTCCACACTTTCAATAATGAGCTTTGAATTGCATGCCCATTAAAGTGTGTATATCTCTTATTTCCAGGGTTCCACATGAAGGCATGCTACCCCGCCTCTAGGTCGTGCCCTTCTAGGATTAAGATTCTTTTATTCCTCAGATTAGCCCATTCTTTAATCCATGTTAAGATTGCTGCTTTATAATATATTTCCCAGGCAGGGAGTCCAAATCCACCTCTGCATCTATTATCTTGTAGTGATCTTATTTTTATTCTCGCTTTTTTTCTTGACCAAATAAATTTCATGGTAATTTTGTTTAGTTCATTAAAGAATTTTTTATCTAATTTAATTGGAATGGTTTGAAAGAGAAATAGTATTCTTGGCAAGATTTGATGTTCGCAATTCTCCGTAACGTAGTAGTCTCCCCCATTTTTCTAAATCCTTTTTTATTTCTAATACCAATTTTACATAATTATCTTCTTTTATTGTTGAACATATTGCCGTGAGCCAAATTCCTAGATATTTTTTTAACAATTTGTATACCCATTACTTCTACTAATTTCTTTTTTAGTTTCTCTATTAAATTTTTTATTATCATTTTGGTTTTGTCCTGATTTAATTGGTTCTATGAACAATACAAGGTCGTCCACAAATGCTTGGCCCTTGTATTCTTCTTGTTTAATTCTTAGTCCTTTTATTTCCGAATTTTGTCTAACTCTCCTCAACAAAATTTCCAGTGTCGTGATAAAGAGCAGAGGTGAAAGTGGACATCCCTGCCTGACTCCTTTTCCTATTTCAAATGAATTTGTCGTTTCTCCATTAATTATTATCCATGCTTTTTGGCTTGAATATATTGACTCTAACATTTTTTTGAATTTATCCCCAAATTTCATCTCCTTTACTTGTTGTCTCATAAATTGCCAATTTACTTTATCGAAGGCTTTTTGGGCATCCAGAAAAACTAATGCAGCCTGTTTTTCTTGACGCACCTTGTAATACTCCAAAATATCTAGTACTGTCCTTGTGTTGTTTTTTAGTTGTCTTGTTGGAAGAAAACCATTTTGATCTGTATGTATATATCTACTTAATATTTTTTTCAATCTCTCAGCCATTATATTCATAAGTATTTTGTAATCAGCGTTTAATAAAGAAATTGGTCTATAATTTATTATGTGGGTGGTATCTGCGTTCTCCTTCGATATTAATGTAATATAGGCTTCTCTCCACGACATTGGTAGCTTTGCCTCTGTAAGTACTTCATTATAAATTTCTGAAAGGATTGGATCGAGTATTTCACCTAAGTTTTTATATAATTCTGCAGGTAGTCCATCTGTTCCGGGGTTTTTGTTGTTTTGTTTACTAATTGCCTCTTTTAGTTCCTCCTTAGTGATCCCTTCATTTAATATTTCCCTTTCTTCCTCTGTTAGTATTGGAATATTTTCTTCCTCTATATACTGTTTGATTTTTTCTTTACTTATATCTTCTTGTTTATAGTTTACTAAAATATTCCAGTACTATTTCTTTTTTCTTTTCCATATTGTTTTGTATCTTTCCCTCCTTTTTTTAAAACAAATTTTATTCAGTTTTTCACATTAAAAACAAAAATCTCTTTTTAGTGGACAACATATTTCCAGGTCATCACCTTTACATACAAATATGATAGCAATTATACATTGATATATGCATACTTAATTCTATTATTACCTTTTCCATTCCAAATTTTCAGTAAGGAGAGAAACAAACACATTAATTCTAGCCTCTTTCATTAATCTCAATCGAAACATCTTTTTGTTTCATTTCAATTATTTCAAATATAATCCTTTAATATTTATTTTAAAAATAAAGGTAAACAATATGTGTTTGCCTAATAATAATAATAATGATAATGATAATAAAAAAGTTACCAATGTCTCTCCTTGCTTTTAATAGTCTATATTAACATTAATTTAGTTGGTTCTTTAGTCTGTCATATTCCCTTTCCATTACACATTCTTTTTATAAATTCTAGATTAATACAAATTTTAACACTAAAAAACAAACAAACAAGTATAGGTTTCCCCCTTTTTACTGTTTTGAGTGTGACACCTCAATGATTAAAACATACCTTTATTCCCTCATCTTGATTCCCAATAAACCATTATTTTTAAGAAGTTACAATAATAATCATCACATCTTTTCATTTGGATTCCGCAGCATATTTTCCCCCCTTGATTTTTAATAAGTTATCAGTATCTATATTACCCTATTTTCTAAATATTTTTAATTGCAGAAATATTCTTACTACCCCTTGTCACCCTGCAGAATCCCCTTTTTAATTCATCAACCATTATCTCTGAAAAAATAATTTCTTTTCAACATTTTACTATTTCCGTATTTCTTTATTTCATGCACCTGTTTCTTACTGCTTCTCCTCCCCCTCTTTTCCCCATATCTTTTCTCATTCCAGTTTATATCCCTCTCTTTCTTAATGTTTTCTTTTCCCCTTTTCTGCTGGGTCTTTCTGTCTTTCCTGACTTCACAGGTATTCCCCCTTTTGATTGCCTTCTTAAATTTCAACTTTTTAACCTTCCTTCTTTCCCCACTTCTTTGTAGTGTTCTTTGTGTTAATTGTCTATTTAAAATGTCTTCTCCTTGAATCGACTCCTCCTTCTCTGAAGCTCTTTCTTCTTGTTCTTCAATCGCCATTTCCATTTTTTCTAACACAGAGCATTCGCCTCTTTCCTATAGTAATTTTCTCATATTTTTAAGCTCCATTTTTAATTCCCGAAGAGATATCATCATTATACACTCTTATATTTTATGATCGTTAAAGTCCACAAAGAAAACACTTTTACTTTCCTTCTTTCTTCTTTCAGTTTTTTAAAGTTCTCAGTTATTCCAGCCGAGGGTCTATACCAAAAACAACAATCAATCCCACAGTCAGTCTTTCCTTGCTTTTTTCTTTATTCTATTCTGCTTTCACTTTCTAAGATTCTTACTTTGTTTCATTATTTCTTTAATGTTACATCCACACAAGTTCATTCAGAAACAGGATGCTTTTCCTTTTGTTTGAGCTCAAGTTTTT